AATGGGAAAAAGTCTTTCCGGGCCCAGCGACTGATACGGAAGTGTAGTACCACCGTTTGGCCACAACGAATATTTTCCTCAGAGTCCGGCACACTTCCTGGGGGCTTGCTCTGGAGGCTCGACTGCATGAGACGTTGAAATATCGCGGGACAAAGACGCCGGCAGCCTTGAGAGCGAGGCAGAGCAGTTTCTCTCCATGAGCTGCAGAAGCGAAATGCTTGATGGGAAACGACTCGCTGGTATATCGAGCTGAGCGCTCATTGGTGGTTTTTACCCCGTGCTGGTGTTGATAAATCGTGATCTTCTCGCTCCCAGGAAAGAAACTTAAAATAACGAGACTAATGGAGTCTCTGAAAAGGTTCAAATGGGTAGTTTAATTAAGTAACGTGGTTGAATAACAAGCATGGGTAATGGAGAGACAAAGCCGGCATTGTCTTCAGGGAGGCTGCAGCGAAGAAAAAGGGCGAGCGGTCCTCTGTCCGCTGTTTTTATCCATGTCTCGTCGTCTCCCGCTGTGCAAATAGTGGGTGGCCCCCTACTCATTTGCCGGTTCGATATCGCGAGAGCACAGATGATTTCGACATTGATATTCTCTGCCTACTTCCTTAAGCATTTTCTCCTCATTATCTCTGTCATGACTTTCTATTTAATACCTTATAAACAGCTGTAATACTTAGTTTAGAAGTCCTAGTGGTTCCGCTCCGGCAGTTCTTATTTTACGGAAATTCCCTCTGACGTCATAGCTACTCACGTAATGTGTAAACACTCCATGATCAACTGTTCCTTCATTTAATATTCAGCAGTAATAATATCTTAACGTCTATCGATGTAGTGTTAAAGTCCGTTCGTTTTTGGTGTATAACACTCCAAGTCACTTTCACTTTACATTCAGAAAACGCAACATTTAGTCACATGCAAAGCAGATAAAGGATTTTCAGAATAAAAGCTTGGCATTGATTTCCTGAGAACTTCCGGGTTTTTCCACAATAAAACAGCTTTAAACTGACGATATATTTTAGACTGAATTATGCTGTTTAACATTGATTTTAATTTCTAACAATCCCTCCTTTCACACCTTTTAAGGTGTGAACACAATACTAAAAGTAATGAGTTCTTCATCTGACTGCTTTTAAACTGACGGTATGTTTTAGACTAAATCATGCCATAAAACATTGATTTTAATTTCTAACACTGGTGATGAAACTCTCCAATTGGCTCCGCAAAAGTTTGTTGTTTTGTGTCAGTTTTACGTCGCCACTTCCATTCACATTTTTCATCATTGTTCCACAATGTTTATCATCATGAAATTAATATCTATATATTTTATACTATACTTGCACTGCTTACCGTTTTCATACTTTATATAACTTAGCATATTCATACACACCGTCAATACTGTTCATACTGGTCATGGCTACTGTGTATATCTAGTGTATTCTATTCATACCCCTCACTGTTTATTCATCATTCAATTAATTCTATATTTTATTCTGTAGATTGTGTACATTACTTTTCACTTTACTGCTTTTTGCACTCCTGGTTAGAAGCTAAACTGCATTTCGTTGTCTCAGTACCTGTAATCTGTGCAATAACAATAAAGTTGAATCTAATCTTGAGCAGGAACAAATGTATGTACTTAGTACATATCTGACATTAACGATTAAACACATTTGTGCATTCTTTGTCAAGGTTGAGCGAAGCAGGCAGGACCCAAACGCAGATTTAACAGAAAATACCTTTATTTAAAGGCTACAAGAAAAATACAGAGCTCTTCCCCGTGAACACAGTAAAAAACAAACCAGGATCTCACAAAGACCAACAGGAAAAACGAACCTAAATGCACACAGGACTAATCAAAGAAACAAGAGACAGGTGAGGAGGGAGGAGAAAACACAGGGGCACAAGGTGAACACAATCAGGAAATCAGGTAGGAGGGAACAGGTAGGAGGGAACACACAGACAGGAAACCAAAGACAGATCTAGACAAGACAAAACACAACACAACACAAACAGATCGTAACATTACCCCCCCCCTCAAGGGACGGATCCCAGACGTCCCTAAAAACAAAAAGGCGTCGAAAGGCGAAACAGGTGTCGGCTGGACCCCCAACGGAACAGAACATGGGGTTGGCAGGACCCCCGGCAGAACAGTAGTCGGCGGGACCCCCAACAGGACAGGACACGGAGTTGGTAGGACCCTCAGCGGAACCCCCAACGAAACAGGACAAGGAGTTGGCAGGACCCCCAGCGAGACAGGTGACGGCGGGTCCCGCAACGGAACAGGACATGGGGTTGGCAGGACCCTCAGCGGAACCCCCAACGAAACAGGACAAGGAGTTGGCAGGACCCCCGGCGAGACAGGTGACGGCGGGACCCCCAACGGAACAGGACACAGAGTTAGCAGGACCCCCAGCAGAACCCCCAACGGACCAGGACATTGGGTTGGCAGGACCCCCGGCAGAACAGTAGTCGGCGGGACCCCCAACGGGACAGGACATAGAGTTGGCAGGACCCCCGGCGAGACAGGTGACGGCGGGACCCCCAACGGAACAGGACATGGGGTTGGCAGGACCCTCAGCGGAACCCCCAACGAAACAGGACAAGGAGTTGGCAGGACCCCCGGCGAGACAGGTGACGGCGGGACCCCCAACGGAACAGGACACAGAGTTGGGACTTGAGAAGGGACTAGAGAAGGGAAATGAGAAGGGATTTGAGAAGGGACTTGAGAGGGGACTTAAGAGGGGACTTGAGAAGGGACTAGAGAAGGGACTTGAGAAGAGACTAGAGAAGGGACTAGAGAAGGGACTTGAGAAGGGACTAGAGCAGGGACTTGAGAGGGGACTTGAGAGGGGACTTGAGAAGGGACTAGAGAAGGGACTTGAGAAGAGACTAGAGAAGGGACTTGAGTAGGGACTGGAGAAGGGACTTGAGATGGGACTAGAGAGGGGACTTGAGAAGGGACTTGAGAAGGGACTAGAGAAGGGACTTGAGTAGGGACTTGAGAAGGGAATTGAGTAGGGACTTGAGTAGGGACTAGAGGAGGGACTAGAGGAGGGACCATGGCTGCTGGGGCCGGAACCAGGGCCTGCACCATGTCTTCTGGGGCTGGGACCATGGCTGCTGGGGCCGGAACCAGGGCCTGAACCATGGCTGCTGGGGCCGGGACCATTGCTGCTGGGGCCGGTACTGGAGCCGGAACCAAGGCTTCTGGGGCTGGGACCATGGCTGCTGGGGCACGGGCTGGAATCCTGGCCTTGCGTTTCCTTCCATGCTGCCTTGAAGCCTTGTGGAGGCTCAGAGGTCCTCCAAAGGCCAGACGACACCCAGCGAAAGGGTCCTTGAAAGGAGCCTTGTTGGGAACTGTGGCCGGCAGGGGGCTAGCATGCCAGGGGCTAGCAGGCCGGGAAACAGGTTTGACCTCAAAGCTTCCAAAAAAGTCCTCCACCCACTCGGGTAGTAACTCCCTTAACCAGGGCCTTGAGGTTACTTCTTGGCGTGCCGTAGAGATAATAGACTACCTCTCTTCACTACTGGAGGCATATCGACAGTCATTCTTCAAGCACATTAAATTGTACGTCACCTCGTACAGGCTGTCTGCTGGGTCCATTTTTGGTGAGATCCTTCTGTCAAGGTTGAGCGAAGCAGGCAGGACCCAAACGCAGATTTAACAGAAAATACCTTTATTTAAAGGCTACAAGAAAAATACAGAGCTCTTCCCTGTGAACACAGTCAAAAACAAACAAGGATCTCACAAAGACCAACAGGAAAAACGAACCTAAATGCACACAGGACTAATCAAAGAAACAAGAGACAGGTGAGGCGGGAGGAGAAAACACAGGGGCACAAGGTGAACACAATCAGGAAATCAGGTTGGAGGGAAGAGGTAGGAGGGAACACACAGACAGGAAACCAAAGACAGATCTAGACAAGACAAAACACAACAAAGACAGATCGTGACATTCTTTATAAATGCAAACCGAGTCAAGCCGACTCCGAGAGGAGAGACACCTCTGAAGATCAGAAGAGAGAAACTTGCTCTGTCATACTGGGTCAGGCTACAAGGAAGTGGAGAGGAAAATATCACAAACAGAATACTACAGGATTGCTGGGAATATACAAGTTCTAGGGGCGTGGGTTAGGCTGGACAAGTAAGGAGAGAACGAGGGCATATGGAGTGAAGACCATAAACTTTGCCAAAGCAAGCCCATTTAGCAGTGTTCCCCATGGCTTTTCCCAGAAGCTAATATAGATGTGAGTATCATAGAAAGGAAAAAATAGTGGCAATAAATGAAGTGAGAATTAAAAGGAGTATGTACCTGAACGAAAAGTATTGCAATTACCTCAACATTTATACAGATGGATCTAAGAAGCAAGAATGGGTGGGGATAGGCATGTACTGTAGGAATGTTGCATGGGTTAGGGTTGAATGGCTTGTAATAGTTCAACTATTTTAGTTGGTGCTTGAGCTCTCTGATAAATAACCAGTATCGCCGGAGTTAAGAACTTAGCAGGGATTTATTCTCTGTAAACATCATCTTTGCTTCAATTTGTAAAGCTCCTGACAATAAACATACCGTGATACCCTTTGCCACCTAAATGTCAAAACATCACAAGAGAGACAAATTCATTTCTTTAAAAATGTTTTATTCCCGTCATTGTAAAGTTATTTCAGATAGAAATTGTGCAATGAACAGGACATCTAACAAAATACAGCTGTGCAAGATTGTATAAATAAATAGTTTTTATAAATAAGAACATGTCATGATAAAACAGTATGCATTAGTTCAGTGTTAGGATGTGCAGCCCACAGGGAGCTATTTGTTTTCCTTTATAATTAAAAAATACATTATTAAAAACCATCACTAAGAAAGATAGTTCTAAAGGAAAGTGCTTAGTGAACATAATTTACATCTACATCCCAAGTTATACTGTTATGCTTAGTATTCAAGCTGTACAATAATTAATACACCAGAGTAGTTTTTCAGTGATGGAAATCAGCACTACTGCCATTGTTGGCTTGACAGTAGCCATGACAACATTGCTAGGCAGGATGCGGTTATGAGACTGATGTTATGGCTTACTCCACTTGAAGCTGAAAATAAGGATAAGAACAAACATTACAATTGTGCACCTTTTGACTGCACTGTTGATAAAGTAGCACTAAGCATGACTTACTTAGGCCATTCACGGAGATGGAGCTCCCCTCAATGTCAAAGCCGGTGATGCTTGCAGCTGCGCTTATTAAAACGCTTGCAATCAGAAAATCATCTGAATCAGTAGGTGTGCTCGAAAAGTAAACATCCATGGTGTTGACGATCGATCCATCACTGCCAAAGTAAGAACAAAAATGTCTTTGAAAAATCTGATTTAGGCCACTTTTCCAAAATTGTGACTGGACATGTCTTAACAAATTACCTGAATGACACCACTTCCAAGGACTTAAATGAAGAAGGGAATGCACTCTGGAAAACAGGTGTAAGCTGCAGAAACAGGAAACAGGTTGTTTACAGAAGAAACACATAATAAATGTAAGACGTAAGTGTAAGTGTTTGAATGTGTGCTTGAGCTCTGCATATTCATATACAGTAGGTATACATATACAGTAGGCTCATTTAAGAATGAGACGTACCTCTTCTTTAATCGTTGCAGCTCGATTTGTATAAGCTGTAGATGATGGATTCAGCAAGTCACTTGTAAAGTTCTTTAGAAGAGACCTGAATACCACCCTTTTTATAATGAGTGCTCCAGTAGTAGTTGCAGCTGCAACAGTGTTAGGTGCAGCAGGTCTAGGTGTGGGAGCTGTAGTTGGATCTGCCACTGGACTTGCTGTAAAAACAAATATATAGATCATATTTATTCGGTAAAAGTATTGGTTCCTATACCATCCATTGCCTTTTGCTTGTTTGATGAAAAAAACAATTGAAAAAATAATTAAAAGCTTTCAAAAAGTTGGTTTTGTAGACTTTCTGGTTATAAACTAGGTAAGTTAAAAAGAAAGAAATAATGCAATTCATTAAAAATATCTTTTGTTTATTGTCTCTATTTGCTTTTTGTAACATAATAACTGATAAAGCAAAATATTATGTTGTGGATACTTACCTAATATTGTGACTGAGGCGGAATTTATGCTCAGATTGAAGCCATTGTCGGGATTGTTTACAGCTTGTACGAAGTTTTTAACAACAACAGAATTCATTGGGAGGTCTGCTTGAGAAGTATTCCCATGGAACACAACTGCCATCGTCACTTGAGTATCGGAAATTCGTGGATTTACGGCACTGCATCATTAAACCAAATGGGAAAAGTTAAATCAGATCATTCTGTTGCCTACTATGCTTAACTATCACAATTAGAAGACATATATTCTACGATCAAAATCCTGCATATAAAGTGCAAGTTTAACGTTTTAGAAATTTTTCTTTACCTGAATCCTTTCAAAGTGCAGTGGGAAAATGTTTTGGGATATTTTGTTCTATATGTTTTATCACACTGCAAAAAGAACAAACATTGAAAGGACTTGATTAGCTTTCAAGCACAGTTATTATCTTAAAATATTGGCTTAAACATTCTGTATGATCATGCAATCACAATTACTGAGACATTTATCAACATGTGTGTGAATTTATATTGCTCTCACCGCATTTAGAACTTTTCCTTCAAGTGCTTTGTATTCAGGGCTGCTGGTGTTAGTGAGGGCAGGTGAAAAAGCTGGTTCTGTCAATCTTGCTGAGAGAAAATATGTAGGTGCAGAGGCTACTGTGTTTGTTGCAGCAGGTGTTGTTGGTGCAGTTGTTATCTTATCTGGAACTGGACTTGCTGTGAAAGAAATATTTAAAGAATATGTAAATATGTTTTGGTACCAATACCTAATCCTTGTATATTGTCAAACTGACACAGACCATTATAGTTAAATATTGAGTTGTGTTTACTTACCTAATACTCTGACTGAAGCAGGATTAATGCTCAGGTTAGGACTATTGGTGGAATTATTCAGAGCTTCTACTAAGGTTTGAGCAACAACATCATTCTGTGGGAGATCTGCAATGGCAGTAGTCCCATGGAACACAATCCCCACAGTTGCTTGAGTTTTGTTGTCTTTTGGTGGATTTAAGGATCTGTATCATAGAAAAGAGAGGAAGAAGTGTTATATTATGATATTAGATGATCCTGTTTCTTTGTTAAATAGGTGGTTATGATTTCATTAACATAGGAAGATACCAATTTTAAGGTCAGAATCCTTTATGTAGAAATCAATCAGAGAAGCACTCTTTGATTTTTCATTTACCTGAAGTTTTTCAAAATGCAGTGGGAAAACGTGTTTGGAAACATGCTTCTGTATTTCTTCTTACACTGCAAAAATAAAACAACATTAAAGACCATAAGTACATTTCAAGCACATTTTTCCCTAAATGAAATTTGACCAGGTCAACTGAATATATCTTTTTATTTAAAAAAACGTGATTCTTTGGTCAAACACATTCTGTTCAATCATCGTTTTCACATTGCTTCTGCAATCAATAACAGATGTATATTTTGAAAATGCTCTCACCGCATTTAGAGCTGCTGTTTCAAGTGCTTTGTATTCATTGCTGTTGGAGTCAGTGAGGGCAGGTGAAAAAGCCACTTCTTTAAATTCTGCTGAGAGAATATAAGTGGGTTCAGGGGCTGCAGGTGTTGTTGTTGCTGCGGATGGTGTGGTTGTAGGTGGAGCAGTCGTAATCGGATCTTCAACTGGACTGTCTGTAAAACAAAAATTGGTTTAGCAGAGTCATATAATCTAATTTTGAAGTAGCTGATTTGAAAAAACGGTGCAGTTAATAACAATTCCATTATCATTATTATTTGTAAATACAAGGTAGTTAAGCTAATTGATTAACATGCTTGGATGTTGTCTTCAATAATCTTTACCTCCATTTAGTTTCAAAGTAGAATAATTTAGGTGATTTATTTATAAACAGAGCATAAGAACCTCATGTTTTCTATATCTTTTACGATCTGAAAATGACTAAATATTGTGTTGTGGATACTTACCTAATATCATGACTGAGGTGGGATTTATGCTCAAGTTGAAGGCATTGTCGGAATTATTGACAGCTAGTATGAAGTCTTTAATAACAGCAGAATTCATTGGGAGTTCTGCTTGAGAAGTATTCCCATGGAACACAGCTGCAAAAGTCGCCCGAGTTTCAGTAACTCGTGTTACATTTGAGGCACTGTATCAGAAACACAATGAGGAAAGTAATATGAGATTATAATATTGTCTTTTGATATGTATGATTAACTACCAATATTAGAAGATACACATGTTAGAGACTAAATAAATAAATAGTCAGAGAAGAACTCAAATCACAAATATTTATTTACCGGAATTCTTTCAAAAGGCAGTGGGAAAAGGTTTTGGGATAGGTTTTTCTGTATATTTCACCACACTGCAAAAAGAAACAACATAGAAAGATTAGCTTTCAACCACAGTTTTCAAAAAGGCAATTATGAAGATATGCAACATTAAAAGGCCATGATTAGCTTTCATTGACATCTTAAACTTTCCATCCGATTGTTCATTCACGTTCAAACCAATTCATTTACATTTGTGTGATTTGAAAATGCACTCACCGCCTTTAAAATTATTTTTTCAAGTGCTTTGTATTCCTTGCTGCTGGTGTTAGTGAGAGCAGGGGAAAAAGCTTCTCCTATTAATTCTAGGTTTAGAACATAACTATGATCCGGGGCTGCTGTGTTTGTTGCTGCTGCAACTGGTGTGGTTGCTGGTGCATCAGTTGTATTTATATCTGGCACTGGACTTTCTGTAAAACAAATATATTAACAATATGTGAATACATTTTAGTGCAAATACTCAAAGGATATATTTATCCTTGTATGATGTCAAATTTACTTTGGTTACAGTTTCACAGACCAATAAGAACCATAATAAAAGGCTTTCAAAAAGTAGTCTTTGCAAACATTCTATTATCTTATCTAGTGAATGATGAGTAACGATATATATCAGTAAATAAGAGATTATTCAATTAAAAAGCTTTCTTACTGAATATAAGATAATTTGGAGAAGAGCTCGTCATGCATAGATTGGACTGTACAACACTGAATATTGTTGAGGTTTTCAGAATGAGTTCAGTTGCTGACTTATTTATGAACTGAGCTTGAGCGGCACATTCTATTCCAAATGTATTTCAAATGATGATGGTACAATATTTTCTTGTGTTTACTTACCCAATACTTTGACTGAAGTGGGATTAATGCTCAGGTTAGGAATATTGTTGGAATTACTCAGCGCTTCTACTAAGGTTTGAGCAACAATATCATTCTGTGGGAGATCTGCAATGGCAGTAGTCCCATGGAACACAACCCCCACAGTTGCTTTAGTTTCAGACCCTTGTGGTGTATTTAAGGCACTGTAAAATAGAAGGGAAGGGGACAAGTATTATATTATGACTTGAGATGATTCTGTTGCCTTGTTTAATTGTTTAAAGGATTAGAGATACACATTTTAAGACTGAAATCTTGCATTTAGAGTTCAATCAGAGAAGCACTCTAGGAAAATCTTCTTACCTGAAGCTTTTCAAACGGCAGTCGGAAAACGTAGTTGGGAATTTGAGGCTGTATTTCTCGTTACACTGCAAAAGAAAGCAACATTCAAAGACCTTGATTATTGTTTAAGAACATTCTTTCTAACAGATATGACAGTTGCAAAAACATTCTGTAAAATGCTTTTTTCACACCGCGATAATCAATCAATGGCAAATGCATATTTTGAAAATGCTCTTACCGCTTTTTGTATTGTTACTTTAAGTGCTTTATATTCATCGCTGTTGGAGTTACTGAGGGCAGGTGAATAAGTCGGTCTTATCAGTTCTGCTGAGAGAATATAAGCAGTTTCTGATCCCACAGTGTTTGTTGCAACAGGTGTAGTTGGCGTGACAGTGTTAGGGTCTGCTGTCGTAGATGCTGCAGTTGAAAGTGCAGCTCTTGTTGTTGCTGATGTCATGGAAGTGCCAGTTGTAGGTGCTGCACTCGTCAGAGTAGCAGGGTTTTTTGCAACACTCGAAGGGGCTGCTGATGTGGGTGCATCAGTGGTTGCAAGCGGGGTAGTTGGTGCAGCACTTGTGGGTGCTGCTGTTTTAGGTGCGGTCGTCGATGGATTGCCCGTCGTAGGAGCCGCAGTTGTAGGAGCGACTGTGGTAGGTGCGGCAGTCGTAGGAGCTGCAGTTGTAGGTGCGGTCGTCGTTGGATTGCTTGTTGTAGGTGAGGCAGTTGTAGCTGCTGCTGTTATAATTGCTGCATTTGTTGGACCAACAGTGGTAGGTGCTGCAGTCGTAGGAGTTGCAGTTGTCTGTGCTTCAGTTGTGGGTGCAGCTGTTGTAGGGGCTCCAGTTGTAGGTGCTAATGTTATAGGAGCCATAGTGGTAGGAGCTGCAGTTGTTGGTGCAGCTGTTGTAGGTTTGGCAGTAGTTTGAGCGCCGGTTGTAGGTGAGGCAGTTGTAGGTGCTGCAGTTTTAGCAGCAACAGTGGTAGGTGCTGCAGTCGTAGGAGCCTCGGTTGTAGGTACTGTTATGTCAAGTCTTGGACCTTCTCAATATAACTATAATTTAATTACAGTTTCCAGATATTGGAAGAGGCCCATGAGTCTCTTTGCTAATTATCAATGGTCTTTGCAATTAACAGCAGATGTACCCATGTTAAGTAAATTGGCAAAGGTCAGAGGAACTCCAAGAGAGGTCTTCCTCAGATATAATACAGTTAAAGTCTTGTTAGTTAGTGGTTCATATCCAGCATGCATTAGCTAAGAAACGATAAGGATGTTGGTGTGTTAGTTAATGTAAAGAAATGTATGTGCGCTCATGTGCAGACGATATATATATAGTTTGTTAATTGGATAATTCATATCCTGCAAGGCTCCTAAAGACTTCATGAGATAATGACCTTTTGACATCTGGAACTTACATGTTGCTCTGATGTTGGTGCGTCCAAGTTTAGGAGACCTGACAATGTGTGTGCATTAAACATGATTAGGGAACATGTTCGTGTGTCATTTAGGAAACGTATATTTGGCTTGTGTTTTCTTGTGTTCGAGGGACCATTTCTGCGATTGGTTGCTCTTGAAGCAAGGTAATGTTTCCCCATTATTGTTTAGTGGTGCGCAACTAAATAATAATGATTAATCTCAACTATTTCTGTGTTTGTGTTTCATTGATTCCTCTCTGTTTCATTCTTTCATGTTGTGTGAATGCTGGATCTCCCCAACATTTTGGAGGTCCTACCGAGATTGCCGATGCTGGAGGTTGCTGTGTTTTTCCCTGGAGGTCTCAACTCACCCTGATCAGGCAGCTACATAGAAAGCTGTGGTAAAATCTCGAGGAATTGAGAAACCAGACTTGAGACTTCCACAGAAGAAATACCAACTCACAGTAAGCAAAACGTATTTGGAATGAAATGACTTTTGAAGTTGTATTGGTTAAAAGGAAAATGCAGAGGAGTGGATTTGAGATATTTGCACAGTTATGGTTGAGATCTGTTGATTGTTTGTTTTGTTTGTTGGTCTTGTTTTATGTTGATAAATGTTTATACTGGAGAGATCACTGTATCTGACCTCGTAATCTGCCTGAGAAGCTAAGGGTTTGATTGAGGGGATATGATCTTTGCTAGCCGTAAGGACATGTTATGCTGGAGGAATCACTGTATCTGACCTCGTAGTCGTGAATTCTGCCTGAGAAGATCCTAATGATTGTCTTAAGGTTCAGATATTCATTTGGCTGAGGGGATATGATTTGCTTTGCGAGCCAAGTGCACATCCGGTCCGTTCGGTAATTAAGAGATTAATAAGCCCGATCTGAGTTCAGGGAGTTAAAAGTATAAAACTTGCCTGGCGACTCTGTGAATTCACTACATACAAAAGTGGAGTTTTCCATGTTTTGTCAGACCGTAATGTAGAGTCTGTGATAAAGCGCTAAATGTTTTGGTATACCATAGTTTTAATTTCTTATTGGTCAAAGAAGCTGCAGTTTGAAATATGTCCCCCTTTCTTCTGAAAAGGCTGAGAGTTCCAGCCGGGGTGTGTCTGTCTTTGTCTGTGAAAGTATCTCCCCCCCCTTCTCCTGATTCTGCTCTAATTGTCGAGCAGCAGCCCGGAGTGTGTCTGCTTGTTTTTTCTCTGAAAGAAGGCTGCATTGTGTTTCTCTGTTTAAAACAAGGAGTGAAAGATCAACGAGTGATCTGAAGTTGGAGTGAATACATTGAAAATGAATAGATCAATGTGTGATTTGAAGTAGTAGATATATTGAAATAAATAAGAAACAATGATTTGTTGCTATTTAAACATAGTCTTTGAGAACTGATTGTTACCATTGCATTGCATTGTGAATTTCATGGTATTTGTCATTTGACTAAGAATTGTTACTTATATTTCAAAGGAACTTAATTACATACAGTAACGTTAAGGCAAAGTAAGAAGAGGTTTACTGAGTATATGAAGTACATTAAGGTAAAGGTTTATTCAAATTAAATATAATAGTGGATTTTTCCACCTAGTACAATACATAGAAAGAGGAGAATTGTTAAACATGAAATAACAAACTCACTGTAAGAAATATATATTGTAATGTTATTCAGGAGTTGTATTTATCATACAATAGTGACTCTCATTTGATGGTTGTTTAAAGTAGATAGGAAACTGAAAACGCAAACGATTCACCACAATTGTATTTTTTAAGTTTATGAAGAAAGAGTAGTAAGTAATAAGCAGGAGGTTTTTATAAGTTTGTCAGTCAGAAGGAAGCTGTTAATGTTTAAGCATGACAGAGGCTCTGTACGATGCTTGCTCAAGCCATCTCAATGTTGGATAACAAAGAGGTCAAGTGTGATTGATGAGAGAAGCTTGTGGACAGGAGCAGCTGCAGGGCGCAGTGAGGAAAGAGAGAGACAGGAGAATTAAGATGTTTTGAGTCTAGAGAGAGTAAATGTTATATAAAGTTAACTACTATTCTGGAAAATGTTCCTATGGTTTACTGTTTTATGAGTAACATAAAATATAAATATATTTATATTACTAGATATAAGAAAAACGTGCTTATCTAGGTTAACAGAAAATTGCTATTAACCAGTTTCAGCTGCAACTATCCTATCTTTGTTCTAAAGAGAACATACGTTGAATTTACTATTAATGTTAAGAAAGTTCACAATTGATATCATTAAAGACCGTTTTGGATTAATGGATTGTTCTTTAGGGCCCAGAGATATTTATTCTTGGAATATATGGCGTGTCTGTCATAAACATTCGTGCTTAGATGGAATAAAGTGTTGAGATGTTGAGATGCTTTTTTGTTTTTATTGAAACAATTAAGTGATAAGGAAAGAAAACTGTTCGGTGATGATTTCTTTAGGTTTTAGCTTTAGTAATGAAGATTACATTTTGTGAGGAAACCACCAATAATTCCTTTAAGTGTTCCAAAAATATATTCATTAACTGAAATTAGATTACTTGGGTTTTTCAAATATAGCGCGGATTGAATACAGTTACTTGATGTTTTGTATTATTACAACCTAACCCTGCTTGTAACACAACTTAGATAAATAATTTGAAAAATAATAGAATAAGCAAGAAGATAAAAGATGAATCTATAGTGTTTAAATGAAGGTTTCCTTGTTTTGCTCATTGACTTAGAACTGAAGTAAAGAAGAATAGTGTTTTATGAAAACTATCATTTCTCATAGTTTTAAAGATAAATCATCAGTTTGTATGAACTTTGATGTTAAAATGCATCATGGTGGAGAATGAAGACCTTTTTGGTTTCGAATTTAAGAAGATTGTAAAGATGATGTTTATGTTATTTTCCTGACTAGAATTTAAAAGCAGGACGTCAACTAGACAAAAGAGATTTTACAATGTAGTTGTACTACTTTTGATGAAGTAAAGAATCTGGGTAAACTACCACCATTAGTTTGTTTTAACATTCACATGTTTCAGCATTCCTGACCATATGGACACTCAGCCATTCCATTTTATAACCCGTTGGGGGAGAGATTTAAATTGAGTTTTTCTCTAGTGGCTAATTGGCTGTGATTACAGCAGCACTGGATAGTTATGCGCCACCTTTGGGTTGTACTCTGAATCAGTGTGTTGGTGAAATGTTGCTCACTACAGAAACAGAAGAAGTGTGCAAAGAACGCATCTCTGAGGAGGTTTTGACATTTTGCTTGTGATGGACATGAACCCTTGTTGTCAAGGCAACAGTGGTGTGAAGAGGAACTGCAGTTTTTGGGGATTTCTACTGTCCAGAGGACAACGTGTGTCTGCTGATTGTACCACATTGATCCAAGAGTTTCCTTCCCTCCAGATGCCAGAGAGAGTTTCCTTGAGCACTGACCAAGGCCGTTTCTAGCTTTTTGGGGACCCTGCCACTGACTACAGCTGCAGAGGACAACGAATCACTGACTGTTCTCATCATGACAAGATCTTGAGACAGGCTTGTCTCAGACTGTTCAGACTCTGAATAAATCATGCAATGATTTTACAGCATAACTGTGCAAGAGTTTTCCAGAGGGTGGTGTAGAACATTATGCTTAGTGTTTAAGAAGAGAGGCTGCTTGTTTAACGATGGTCTAGAATACTGAAAAGATGAATACTATTAATATCCTTTATTTTAGCATACAAGACATCTGATTATTGTATCACACAGAATCATCTTGAAATATAAACTACCTATGGGTAAAACGTGTGGTTGTTATACCATTGTTATAATGAACTGAAAGTAAATAGGGAAATAGTGTCTGGTTAAAGATGAACTGATTTGATATCCTAGAGAGGGTTAGTTATAGTGTGAATAACTTTACAAAGTATTTACTAATGTATTTTGAAGTACAAATAACAAAAAAACACGAGTCCAGTTTTGTTTTTTAGTTTAAATTGTCTATTAAAAAAACTGTTCACCTTAGGTCTAGCTTTAGACTTTGATAGTAAAGGAGTATTTAGGTTTATTTTTTATATATCTGACATTTTTAAATATGTTGGCTATTCACTAAATAGAGATTTATTGAGGACATTTCTGAAGATTGAATATTTGTTCCATTTCTAATATTCCTATTTAAAACGTAATTTTAGAGTAACGAAGGCTGATGCTGAACTTGGAAAAATGTGTTAGTGGTCTGCATGATGTAAACAAAGAGGCTTTGGTTTGTTCAATCACCAGTTAAATCTGATACAGTAATACTGATCTACTTCAGTACCTGGTACTGTAAAATGGTTTGGTATGATTGATTTGGCTATAACTTTGTTTAACATCCTGATGTAACATTATGAGATATGTTCACTTCTAAGGGTAAACAAATTAACAAAAAGGACTATTATTATTATTATTATTAATTAATTGAAATATTAATTAAAAAGGCCGATGTCTGCAGGTTTACTTAGGGATGCCTTGCAAGAACATTTGTCAGGCTTTGTGTTTCCTAGGGGCAGTACATTAATGAAGTGTATTGATAATTTGTTTGTTTAACATCTGAAGAAAATTGTGCTGCGAACACGGGGAAAAACTTTGTTGCATTGTTTGACATCAACACAACAATGTCACTGATTAAAAACTCCAGCTGGTAGAATATCAAAGTGCACAACTATAGGACATGAGATCTCGAGACTGACTTAGACTTTGCAAAGACTGAATGAATGTGAATTGATTTGTCAATTCCTGACTGTTACAGTAACACTGACCCACCGACAAGGTGATTTTATTTTGGGATATACGCATTACTTTTGGAAGAATGGACTTCTGACTATGCCATATTAGTTGAACCATTGTGAGACATGGTGCATGAAATTTGTATTTGTGTTGACTATGCATGATCCCTGCATGGCTTGATGACTATGTAACTTGATATTTAACATTGTTGATTCTTTTTGACGGGAGAAAGTTTTCCTGATGATGAGTCATAGGACTTTGAAATAACATTGTATGAGCAGATGGGTACTCTGAAGTATCTTACTTGGGGAAACATGGTCTCTATGGTTTGGAGGACAATGTTTCCAGGAGGGGTATAATGGGTTTATTGTTCTTGTTCACGTGAATTTTTTAACCCTCACATGATCCAGAGGGAAAATGAAACAACTTGTTGCCTAAACAACTTTTTTCCTACATGGTTAAGCTCCTGATTGGGTTCTGCTAAAGATAGGTATGATTAAATGTAATGTTCGAAGTTGGGATCTGATTGGTTTCAGCACCGTGGCTGAACAATTTTGCAGAATATGTTTGTTGTGTGCTTAGGAAATTGTGGGTAAGTAAAAACACAACACGAACAACATTTCATGGTTTCAAGAAGTTTAAAAATGATAGGTAAGACTCTAAGACCTAGTGGTCGACTGTAGGCTGTTAACCCAGAATGCAAGTGCTATTTTCTACCCAGGTCAAAGCTGTCTTTCCCTTGCAATCTGAAGGAGAGAAGATGGATCATTCTGATGCAGAGGTTTAAAGAGCTGCGTCTGGAGGCAAACTGGAGTGTCAATGAAGGCAGCTGGATGACTACCTTCAGTTTCCAGCTATTCTTCCACTGCTATTGTCTTATGGGTTTGGGTCAACACGAAGAACAAAACCCAAAATGTCTGAGATGATTTACAGCCAAGTATATTAGTAATCTCAAACTCCAGAGAAGAAGATCTACCGTTAAACTGTTCTTTTAAAGAAGTCTCAGTTTTCTGACTACAGTTCCGTCCAATTCAAATGGTAATGATGTTGCTTCAGATGTCATCAAGGGATTTTGCTATGAGATGGGACATTACAGCATGAAGGCTAAGATAGATATTCCATCTAAAGGCTACGCATGGAGATCGGAACGTGCACACCCTGAAGAAGTATTTACTGGACAATATAACAGAAGCAGAAAGAGTGTACAACAGTTACATCTTGCTATAAGTGTTTTGGAATATTTTTTATTATGTATAATCAAGTATTACATTGAATGTTACTTTGTTATTAGGTTATGTATGTAAGTTTGTTAAACTTGAATGGGACAAATTGATTTTTTCCTCTTAAGCATACTGAGGTTTTTAATGATTTTCCATTTAAGTAAGAGTAGATTAGCGCAAATTGTCTTTTCTTTCACTTTTTGTGTTATAATCAAAAAGGTGGTTTTTTGGCTATTTGTGAGTAGTACAGGTAACCCTGTGACTTCTGCCGTGAGTAAAATGATTATTCATTGATAAATATTTTTCAGAAAGTCATTTTGGACTTTCCAGGGCGGATCTCAAAAGGTTATTTGTAAGAGTTTTTTTGTATGATCTGGAAACTTAAATTAATAAAAGGAGGGAATGTTATGTCAAGTCTTGGACCTTCTCAATATAACTATAATTTAATTACAGTTTCCAGATATTGGAAGAGGCCCATGAGTCTCTTTACTAATTATCAATGGTCTTTGCAATTAACAGCAGATGTACCCATGTTAAGTAAATTGGCAAAGGTCAGAGGAACTCCAAGAGAGGTCTTCCTCAGATATAATACAGTTAAAGTCTTGTTAGTTAGTGGTTCATATCCAGCATGCATTAGCTAAGAAACGATAAGGATGTTGGTGTGTTAGTTAATGTAAAGAAATGTATGTGCGCTCATGTGCAGACGATATATATATAGTTTGTTAATTGGATAATTCATATCCTGCAAGGCTCCTAAAGACTTCATGAGATAATGACCTTTTGACATCTGGAACTTACATGTTGCTCTGATATTGGTGCGTCCAAGTTTAGGAGACCTGACAATGTGTGTGCGTTAAACATGATTAGGGAACATGTTCGTGTGTCATTTAGGAAACGTATATTTGGCTTGTGTTTTCTTGTGTTCGAGGGACCATTTCTGCGATTGGTTGCTCTTGAAGCAAGGTAATGTTTCCCCATTATTGTTTAGTGGTGCGCAACTAAATAATAATGATTAATCTCAACTATTTCTGTGTTTGTGTTTCATTGATTCCTCTCTGTTTCATTCTTTCATGTTGTGTGAGTACTTGGATCGCCACAACAGTACGGCCGGCGTAGGAGCCGCAGTTGTAGGAGCGACTGTGGTAGGTGCGGCAGTCGTAGGAGCTGCAGTTGTTTGTGCTTCAGTTGTGGGTGCAGCTGTTGAAGGGGCTCCAGTCGTAGGTGCTAATGTTGTAGGAGCTGCAGTTGTTGGTGCAGCTGTTGTAGGTTTGGCAGTAGTTTGAGCGCCAGTTGTAGGTGAGGCAGTTGTAGGTGCTGCAGTTCTAGCAGCAACAGTTGTCGGTGCAGCTGTTGTAGGGACTCCAGTCGTAGGTGCTAATGTTGTAGGAGCTGCAGTTGTCGGTGCAGCTGTTGTAGGTTTGGCTGTCGTTTGAGCGCCGGTTGTAGGTGAGGCAGTTGTAGCAGCAACAGTGGTAGGTGCTGCAGTTGTAGGAGCCTCGGTTGTTGGTGCAAGTGTTGTAGGGGCTGTAGTTGTAGGAGCAATAGTGGTAGGGGCTGCTGTTGTAATTGCTGCATTTGTTGGACCAACAGTGGTAGGTGCTGCAGTCGTAGGAGTTGCAGTTGTATGTGCTTCAGTTGCGGGTGCAGCTGTTGAAGGTGCTCCAGTCGTAGGCGCTAATGTTGTAGGAACCATAGTGGTAGTAGCTGCAGTTGTTGGTGCAGCTGTTGTAGGTTTGGTAGTAGTTTGAGCACCGGTTGTAGGTGAGGCAGTTGTAGGTGCTGCTGTTGTAGGTGCTGCAGTTGTAGCAGCAACAGTTGTCGGTGCAGCTGTTGTAGGGGCTCCAGTCGTAGACGCTAATGTTGTAGGAGCCATAGTAGAAGGAGCTGCAGTTATTGGTGTAGCTGTTGTAGGTTTGGCAGTAGTTTGAGCGCCGGTTGTAGGTGAGGCAGTTGTAGGTGCTGCAGTTGTAGCAGCAATAGTGGTAGGTGCTGCAGTCGTAGGGGCCTCGGTTGTAGGTACGGCCGTCGTAGGAGCCGCAGTTGTAGGAGCGACTGTGGTAGGTGCGGCAGTCGTAGGAGCTGCAGTTGTAGGTGCGGTCGTCGTTGGATTGCTTGTTGTAGGTGAGGCAGTTGTAGCTGCTGCTGTTATAATTGCTGCATTTGTTGGACCAACAGTGGTAGGTGATGCAGTCGTAGGAGTTGCAGTTGTCTGTGCTTCAGTTGTGGGTGCAGCTGTTGTAGGGGCTCCAGTCGTAGGTGCTAATGTTGTAGGAGCCATAGTGGTAAGAGCTGCAGTTGTTGTTGCAGCTGTTGTAGGTTTGGCAGTAGTTTGAGCGCCGGTTGTAGGTGAGGCAGTTGTAGGTGCTGCAGTTGTAGCAGCAACAGTTGTCGGTGCAGCTGTTGTAGGGGCTCCAGTCGTAGGTGCTAATGTTGTAGGAGCTGCAGTTGTTGGTGCAGCTGTTGTAGCAGCAACAGTGGTAGGTGCTGCAGTCGTAGGAGCCTCGGTTGTAGGTACGGCCGTCGTAGGAGCCGCAGTTGTAGGAGCGACTGTGGGAGGTGCGGCAGTCGTAGGGGCTCCAGTTGTAGGTGCTAATGTTATAGGAGCCATAGTGGTAGGAGGTGCAGTTGTTGGTGCAGCTGTTGTAGGTTTGGCAGTAGTTTGAGCGCCGGTTGTAGGTGAGGCAGTTGTAGGTGCTGCAGTTGTAGCAGCAACAGTTGTCGGTGCAGCTGTTGTAGGGGCTCCAGTCGTAGGTGATAATGTTGTAGGAGCTGCAGTTGTTGGTGCAGCTGTTGTAGGTTTGGCTGTCGTTTGAGCGCCGGTTGTAGGTGAGGCAGTTGTTGGTGCTGCAGTTGTAGCAGCAACAGTGGTAGCTGCTGCAGTCGTAGGGGCCTCGGTTGTAGGTACGGCCGTCGTAGGAGCCGCAGTTGTAGGAGCGACTGTGGTAGGTGCGGCAGTCGTAGGAGCTGCAGTTGTTTGTGCTTCAGTTGTGGGTGCAGCTGTTGTAGGTTTGGCTGTCGTTTGAGCGCCGGTTGTAGGTGAGGCAGTTGTTGGTGCTGCAGTTGTAGCAGCAACAGTTGTTTGTGCTGCAGTCGTAGGAGCCTCGGTTGTTGGTGCAAGTGTTGTAGGAGCAATAGTCGTAGGGGCTGCTGTTGTGGTTGCTGCAGTCGTAGGAGTTGCAGTTGTTTGTGCTTCAGTTGTGGGTGCAGCTGTTGAAGGGGCTCCAGTCTTAAGTGCTAATGTTGTAGGAACCATAGTGGTAGTAGCTGCAGTTGTTGGTGCAGCTGTTGTAGGTTTGGCAGTAGTTTGAGCACCGGTTGTAGGTGAGGCAGTTGTAGGTGCTGCTGTCATAGGTGCTGCAGTTGTAGCAGCAACAGTTGTCGGTGCAGCTGTTGTAGGGGCTCCAGTCGTAGCTGCTAATGTTGTAGGAGCCATAGTAGTAGGAGCTGCAGTTGTTGGTGCAGCTGTTGTAGCAGCAACAGTGGTTGGTGCTGCAGTCGTAGGAGCCTCGGTTGTTGGTGCAAGTGTTGTAGGGGCTGTAGTTGTAGGAGCAATAGTCGTAGGGGCTGCTGTTGTGGTTGCTGCAGTCGTAGGAGTTGCAGTTGTTTGTGCTTCAGTTGTGGGTGCAGCTGTTGAAGGGGCTCCAGTCGTAGGTGCTAATGTTGTAGGAACCATAGTGGTAGTAGCTGCAGTTGTTGGTGCAGCTGTTGTAGGTTTGGCTGTCGTTTGAGCGCCGGTTGTAGGTGAGGCAGTTGTAGGTGCTGCTGTTGTAGGTGCTGCACTTGTAGCAGCAACAGTGGTAGGTGCTGCAGTCGTAGGAGCCTCGGTTGTTGGTACGGCCGTCGTAGGAGCCGCAGTTGTAGGAGCGACTGTGGTAGGTGCGGCAGTCGTAGGAGCTGCAGTTGTAGTTGCGGTCGTCGTTGGATTGCTTGTTGTAGGTGAGGCAATTGTAGCTGCTGCTGTTGTAATTGCTGCATTTGTTGGACCAACAGTGGTAGGTGCTGCAGTCGTAGGAGTTGCAGTTGTTAGTGCTTCAGTTGTGGGTGCAGCTGTTGTAGGGGCTCCAGTCGTAGGCGCTAATGTTGGAGGAGCCATAGTGGTAGGAGCTGCAGTTGTTGGTGCAGCTATTGTAGGTGAGGCAGTTGTAGGTGCTGCAGTTGTAGCAGCAACATTTGTCGGTGCAGCCGTTGTACGGGCTCCAGTCGTACGTGCTATTGTTGTAGGAGCTGCAGGTGTTGGTGCAGCTGTTGTAGGTTTGGCTGTCGTTTGAGCGCCGGTTGTAGGTGAGGCAGTTGTAGGTGCTGCAGTTGTAGCAGCAACCGTGGTAGGTGCTGCAGTCGTAGGAGCCTCGGTTGTAGGTACGGCCGTCGTAGGAGCCGCAGTTGTAGGAGCGACTGTGGTAGGTGCGGCAGTCGTAGGAGCTGCAGTTGTTTGTGCTTCAGTTGTGGGTGCAGCTGTTGTAGGGGCTCCAGTCATAGGTGCTAATGTTGTAGGACCCATAGTGGTAGGAGCTGCAGTTGTTGGTGCAGCTGTTGTAGGTTTGGCAGTAGTTTGAGCGCCGGTTGTAGGTGAGGCAGTTGTAGGTGCTGCAGTTGTAGCAGCAACAGTTGTCGGTGCAGCTGTTGTAGGGGCTCCAGTCGTAGGAGCCTTGGTTGTTGGTGCACGTGTTGTAGGGGCTGTAGTTGTAGGAGCAATAGTGGTAGGAGCAGCTGTTGTGGTTGCTGCTGTTGTAGGTGCAGCTGTTGTAGGGGCTCCAGTCGTAGGTGCTAATGTTGTAGGACCCATAGTGGTAGGAGCTGCAGTTGTGGGTGCAGCTGTTGTAGCTTTGGCTGTCGTTTGAGCGCCGGTTGTAGGTGAGGCAGTTGTTGGTGCTGCACTTGTAGCAGCAACAGTGGTAGGTGCTGCAGTCGTAGGAGCCTCGGTTGTAGGTACGGCCGCCGTAGGAGCCGCAGTTGTAGGAGTGACTGTGGTAGGTGCGGCAGTCGTAGGAGCTGCAGTTGTTTGTGCTTCAGTTGTGGGTGCAGCTGTTGTAGGGGCTCCAGTCGTAGGCGCTAATGTTGTAGGAGCCATAGTGGTAGGAGCTGCAGTTGTTGGTGCAGCTGTTGTAGGTTTGGCAGTAGTTTGAGCGCCGGTTGTAGGTGCAGCTGTTGTAGGGGCTCCAGTCGTAGGAGCCTCGGTTGTTGGTGCAAGTGTTGTAGGGGCTGTAGTCGTAGGAGTTGCAGTTGTTTGTGCTTCAGTTGTGGGTGCAGCTGTTGTAGGGGCTCCAGTCGTAGGTGCTAATGTTGTAGGAGCCATAGTAGTAGGAGCTGCAGTTGTTGGTGCAGCTGTTGTAGGTTTGGCAGTAGTTTGAGCGCCGGTTGTAGGTGAGGCAGTTGTAGGTGCTGCAGTTGTAGCAGCAACAGTTGTCGGTGCAGCTGTTGTAGGGGCTCCAGTCGTAGGTGATAATGTTGTAGGAGCTGCAGTTGTTGGTGCAGCTGTTGTAGGTTTGGCTGTCGTTTGAGCGCCGGTTGTAGGTGAGGCAGTTGTAGGTGCTGCAGTTGTAGCAGCAACCGTGGTAGGTGCTGCAGTTGTAGGAGCCTCGGTTGTAGGTACGGCCGTCGTAGGAGCCGCAGTTGTAGGAGCGACTGTGGTAGGTGCGGCAGTCGTAGGAGCTGCAGTTGTTTGTGCTTCAGTTGTGGGTGCAGCTGTTGTAGGGGCTCCAGTCATAGGTGCTAATGTTGTAGGACCCATAGTGGTAGGAGCTGCAGTTGTTGGTGCAGCTGTTGTAGGTTTGGCAGTAGTTTGAGCGCCTGTTGTAGGTGAGGCAGTTGTAGGTGCTGCAGTTGTAGCAGCAACAGTTGTCGGTGCAGCTGTTGTAGGGGCTCCAGTCGTAGGAGCCTCGGTTGTTGGTGCAAGTGTTGTAGGGGCTGTAGTCGTAGGAGCAATAGTGGTAGAAGCTGCAGTTGTGGGTCCAGCTGTTGTAGCTTTGGCTGTCGTTTGAGCGCCAGTTGTAGGTGAGGCAGTTGTAGGTGCTGCACTTGTAGCAGCAACAGTGGTAGGTGCTGCAGTCGTAGGAGCCTCGGTTGTTGGTGCAAGTGTTGTAGGGGCTGTAGTTGTAGGAGCAATAGTGGTAGGAGCTGCTGTTGTGGTTGCTGCTGTTGTAGGTGCAGCTGTTGTAGGAGCTGCTGTTGTGGTTGCTGCTGTTGTAGGTGCAGCTGTTGTAGGGGCTCCAGTCGTAGGTGCTAATGTTGTAGGACCCATAGTGGTAGGAGCTGCAGTTGTGGGTGCAGCTGTTGTAGCTTTGGCTGTCGTTTGAGCGCCGGTTGTAGGTGAGGCAGTTGTAGGTGCTGCACGTGTAGCAGCAACAGTGGTAGGTGCTGCAGTCGTAGGAGCCTCGGTTGTAGGTACGGCCGTCGTAGGAGCCGGAGTTGTAGGAGTGACTGTGGTAGGTGCGGCAGTCGTAGGAGCTGCAGTTTTAGGTGCGGTCGTCGTTGGATTGCTTGTTGTAGGTGAAGCAGTTGTAGCTCCTGCTGTTGTAAGTGCAGCAGTTGTTGGACCAACAGTGGTAGGTGCTGCAGTCGTAGGAGTTGCAGTTGTTTGTGCTTCAGTTGTGGGTGCAGCTGTTGTATGGGCTCCAGTCGTAGGTGCTAATGTTGTAGGAGCCATAGTAGTAGGAGCTGCAGTTGTTGGTGCAGCTGTTGTAGGTTTGGCAGTAGTTTGAGCGCCGGTTGTAGTTGAGGCAGTTGTAGGTGCTGCAGTTGTAGCAGCAACAGTGGTAGGTGCTGCAGTCGTAGGAGCCTCGGTTGTTGGTGCAAGTGTTGTAGGGGCTGTAGTTGTAGGAGCAATAGTGGTAGGAGCTGCTGTTGTGGTTGCTGCTGTTGTAGGTGCAGCTGTTGTAGGGGCTCCAGTCGTAGGTGCTAATGTTGTAGGACCCATAGTGGTAGGAGCTGCAGTTGTGGGTGCAGCTGTTGTAGCTTTGGCTGTCATTTGAGCGCCGGTTGGAGGTGAGGCAGTTGTAGGTGCTGCACTTGTAGCAGCAACAGTGGTAGGTGCTGCAGTCGTAGGAGCCTCGGTTGTAGGTACGGCCGTCGTAGGAGCCGGAGTTGTAGGAGTGACTGTGGTAGGTGCGGCAGTCGTAGGAGCTGCAGTTGTAGGTGCGGTCGTCGTTGGATTGCTTGTTGTAGGTGAGGCAGTTGTAGCTGCTGCTGTTGGCAGTGCATCAACCTGCTTACCTATTAAAATGAGGGAAATTGATATTATCCAGCCGACACCCATCTTGTCTTCCTTTGAATCTATAAAATCAAACAATACAGAGAATTACTCACAGAAGCAGCTTTTCAAAACCTTTACGTTCACAGTTACTACTTACTAGAATGATTACCCTTTAAGTAGGTCACAAGATTAAATCTGCAGATGACATCATTCATTACAGAAATATATTTTATATTTATTTTCATCCAAATATGGCACATTTCTTTCATTTCTGAAGTATGTGACATTTGAAGAGATTTAACTCAACAACCTAAAATTGTTATTTCCTCAAACCTTGCCAACTGATTTTTTTTTTTAAAAAGAAATAGTCTTTTGGAATATTTGAGAAGATGTTGCAAACCGAGCATAGATGCAGAACCATTTAGAAATGTAATAAATGCAAAAAATATCTACAGTCCTAGCCAAGCCATTTTTATTAGAATTTACAACATTTTGAGTAGTAGTGATGGAATTGACCAATTCTGTAATGTTTTTTGCTGAATAAACACTTTGATTGGAGATATATATTAATTAATTAATAATAATGAGAATGAGGCTGCGTGGCTAAGACCCCTAATAATAACAACAAATCCATTATTACTTTTTCTGGTACTCTATTACTTTTGTGCAAAAAAATTGGGAATGATGCCCAACATTATTTCATCCCACACCTTTTTAGTACTTCCAAGCAGCGTATACAGGGAATTTTTTTATCATATAATGAAATACGTTTTTCACACCCTTGACCCAAAATAGAGGCATTAAATTAATTAATTTTAGTTTATTATAGCTTTTTCTTGAAATGACCATTAGTATACAACAAGCTTTTTAGCTACTGTAGTTAGCAGTAGCAAACATGTTTGCTCCAGGTCTGATGATGCTGGCTGAAACTGCACAAAAAAGAGATTAAACTGCCTCTTGAACAGACAATCTACTATCACAACAATTCCACTTATAGATTAAGTGAGAGAGATATTCAGCCTTTGAAATAGACTTAGAAAGGTACTTACCCAAAATGAGGTTAAAAATGATGCCTTCCTATTCGCCTTCAATGTTTTTGAAATATATCTCTATGTGTCTTTTAGTCAAGTCAATTCCACAAATGTGATATTGCAAACGTTTCAGACCTTATGTGGCACTCTTAATATTTCACGCCTTTATATTGAAATGGGCTAATGGCTCATGACGTTATTCATTAGTCATACATTTTTTTATAAATGTTGTTACACCTTAGAATAACAAAGCCCAATTACAGGGTACATCATTTCAACTGTCAATCTGTCTGTTTATTGCCGAAGTGTCATGGCACTCCCTTCTTTTTTCCTGCAAATCAACATTGTGACTACGCCCGTCTCATTCTCGTTGTTTAACAAATATAAGGAGGCTCTACGTAGAGCAGCTTATTACTCATCATTAATAGCAGAAAAAAGAACAATGCCAGGTTTATTTTCAAACCTGGCTGACACAGAGCCACAGATCTATTGAGCCTTCTATTTTTATATCACTAAGTAGTAATTACTTCATGTGTTTTTATAAAGGTGAAATTATAGCTCTTCAAAACTAAATTAACCACCTCCTGCCCCAAACTGATACGGAGTTATTTTCGACCACCAGAATTTATCAAACTGTTGATATGTATTTACTTTTGAACAATTTCTTAATTGAAACCACAAAAATCGGTCTTTTTCGTCAGGCAGATTTAAGACACATATCTAACCTTCCCTTTCTCACTACAATCCTTGAGAAAGTAGTTACTTAACAGTTGTGTAATTTGCAAAAAAACAATCATTTATTTGAAGAGCTTCATCCACAGATAAAGCGCTGGTGGGTGTCACAAATGGCCTTCTAATTGCATCAGACAAAGGACTTTCATTCAAGGACTTTTTTAATCTTGTTTCTTGTTCTTTTTAAATCTCAGTTCTGCATTTGGTATTATTGAACACGACATTTCATTACAGAGACTAACACATTGAGATGGTGAAAAAGGAACCACACCAAGCCAATAAATATCCTATTCATCTCAATGGTCCGACAACGGTGCAACCTACAACTACAGCTACACCTACAACTGCAGCCCCTACTACTGTTGCAACAACAACAGCAGCACCTACAACTACTGCTGTTCCGACAACGGTGGAACCTACAACTACTGCTACACCTACAACTGCAGCCCCTACTACTGTTGCAACAACAACAGCACCTACAACTACTGCTGCTCCGACAACGGTGCAACCTACAACTACTGCTACACCTACAACTGCAGGCCCTACTACTGTTGCAACAACAACAGCACCTACAACTACTGCTGCTCCGACAACGGTGCAACCTACAACTACTGCTTCACCTACAACTGCAGCCCCTACTACTGTTGCAACAACAACAGCACCTACAACTACTGCTGCTCCGACAACGGTGCAGCCTACAACTACTGCTACACCTACAACTGCAGCCCCTAATACTGTTGCAACAACAACAGCAGCACCTACAACTACTGCTGCTCCGACAACGGTGCAACCTACAACTACTGCTACACCTACAACTGCAGCCCCTACTACTGTTGCAACAACAGCAGCACCTAAAACTACTGCTGCTCCGACAACGGTGCAACCTACAACTACTGCTTCACCTACAACTGCAGCCCCTACTACTATTGCAACAACAACAGCACCTACAACTACTGCTGCTCCGACAACGGTGCAACCTACAACTACTGCTACACCTACAACTGCAGCCCCTACTACTGTTGCAACAACAACAGCAGCACCTACAACTACTGCTGCTCCGACAACGGTGCAACCTACAACTACTGCTACACCTACAACTGCAGCCCCTACTACTGTTGCAACAACAGCAGCAGCACCTACAACTACTGCTGCTCCAACAATGGTGCAACCTACAACTACTGCTTCACCTAAATCTGCAGCCCCTACTACTGTTGCAACAACAACAGCAGCACCTACAACTACTGCTGCTCCTACAACTGCAGCCCCTACTACTGTTGCAACAACAACAGCACCTACAACTACTGCTGCTCCGACAACGGTGCAGCCTACAACTACTGCTACACCTACAACTGCAGCCCCTAATACTGTTGCAACAACAACAGCAGCACCTACAACTACTGCTGCTCCGACAACGGTGCAACCTACAACTACTGCTACACCTACAACTGCAGCCCCTACTACTGTTGCAACAACAGCAGCACCTAAAACTACTGCTGCTCCGACAACGGTGTAACCTACAACTACTGCTTCACCTACAACTGCAGCCCCTACTACTATTGCAACAACAACAGCACCTACAACTACTGCTGCTCCGACAACGGTGCAACCTACAACTACTGCTACACCTACAACTGCAGCCCCTACTACTGTTGCAACAACAGCAGCAGCACCTACAACTACTGCTGCTCCGACAACGGTGCAACCTACAACTACTGCTACACCTACAACTGCAGCCCCTACTACTGTTGCAACAACAGCAGCAGCACCTACAACTACTGCTGCTCCAACAATGGTGCAACCTACAACTACTGCTTCACCTAAATCTGCAGCCCCTACTACTGTTGCAACAACAACAGCAGCACCTACAACTATTGCTGCTCCTACAACTGCAGCCCCTACTACTGCTGCACCTACGACAACAGCACCTACTACTGTTGCAACAACAACAGCAGCGCCTACAACTACTGCTGCACCTACAACTGCAGCCCCTACTACTGTTGCAACAACAACAGCAGCACCTACAACTGTTGCAACAACAACAGCAGCACCTACAACTACTGCTGCACCTACAACTGCAGCCCCTACTACTGTTGCAACAACAACAGCAGCACCTACAACTGTTGCAACAACAACAGCAGCACCTACAACTACTGCTGCTCCTACAACAGCAGCCCCTACTACTGTTGCAACAACAACAGCATCACCTACAACTGTTGCAACAACAACAGCAGCAGCACCTACAACTACTGCTGCACCTACAACTGCAGCCCCTACTACTGTTGCAACAACAACAGCAGCACCTACAACTACTGCTGCTCCAACAACACTGCAACCTACAACTACTGCTGCACCTACGACAGCAGCACCTACTACTGTTGCAACAACAACAGCATCACCTACAACTACTGCTACACCTACAACTGCAGCCCCTACTACTGTTGCAACAACAACAGCAGCACCTACAACTACTGCTGCTCTGACAACAGTGCAACCTAAAACTACTGCTACACCTACAACTGCAGCCCCTACAACTGTTGCAACAACAACAGCAGCACCGACAACTGTTGCAACAACAACAGCAGCACCTACAACTACTGCTGCTCCTACAACAGCAGCCCCTACTACTGTTGCAACAACAACAGCATCACCTACAACTGTTGCAACAACAACAGCAGCACCTACAACTACTGCTGCACCTACAACTGCAGCCCCTACTACTGTTGCAACAACAACAGCAGCACCTACAACTACTGCTGCTCCAACAACACTGCAACCTACAACTACTGCTGCACCTACGACAGCAGCACCTACTACTGTTGCAACAACAACAGCATCACCTACAACTACTGCTACACCTACAACTGCAGCCCCTACTACTGTTGCAACAACAACAGCAGCACCTACAACTACTGCTGCTCTGACAACAGTGCAACCTAAAACTACTGCTACACCTACAACTGCAGCCCCTACAACTGTTGCAACAACAACAGCAGCACCGACAACTGTTGCTGCTACAACTGCAGCACCTACAACTGACTCACCTACAACCGGCGCTCAAACTACTGCCAAACCTACAACAGCTGCACCAACAACTGCAGCTCCTACCCCTATGGCTCCTACAACATTAGCACCTACGACTGGAGCCCCTACAACAGCTGCACCCACAACTGAAGCACAAACAACTGCGGATCCTACGACGGCCGTACCTATAACCGAG